TTTGGTTTTCTGCCTAACTTTTAATGCTCGTTCAAACTAGCTATCTAGTTTGAAAAAGCAAATTTTTTCGGCAACTTGCACCAATCATTTTGGGTGATAATCTCATGGACCCTCTCTTAATTCTTCTCTATAAATTTTCTTCACTGGTTGTGGCGAATCTTCAATACGTCGTTTTAAATTCATTGTAAATTCTTCCACTTTACATTTCATTTCATCGGCATCATGATTATGTGGTTTCTTCATGCTTGGTGGATTTGAACCATATTGTACAGCACGTCCAGGACATGAACGATTTTCACAAATTTCAATAAAATAGTTGTATTAAAAATTTTATCCTGTGTGTAGCGAAAAGCATCAAGTAATAAAGTTGGTTTATTACGTTTACTTTCAACAATAGATAGCATCTTTTTGTTTAATAATGAATGTAACAAAAAAATGAATTGTCCCTTTTACTCCACATATATATACTTTTACAAAATTTCAGATTAATAGTATAGGGATATCAATTAGTTTCTGTTTCAGAAAATTGTTGAAGTCATTCATAGATATTGAGCTTATCGCTTTGATTATGCTCTTTTCATTACAATTTAATTTTTCGACGAAATGAGAAGAGTCGTTTTTTCATTTTCGACGAGACGGGAATGATGGAAAAAAGAGTGTATCAAATTTTTCGACGAAGCAGGAAAATCAATTAGTGTTTCAACGAAACGAGAATCTACCGGGCACGAAAGATGCTCATAGACATACCTTATTCTGTCTTTATGTACTAATCATCCGTGACTTTCGATTTCTAATGAATGATAATAAGACTTTATTCTACCTGAATTCGAATAATATTTTGAACAGAAACAAGCTGGATCACGAAGAATTTTAATTCGTCATTGTAAATTAATTGTATAATCTTTTAAACTTGGAAGTGCTGCTTGAATAAGATCATCATGATTTTCATTTAATAGAGCAAGTAAACGCTATCAATAGAATATAATAATATAAAGTAAATCATCGAATAAAAATTTACCTTAACAGTAAATGATCTTTGTAAGAAAAGCTCTGCAGGAAAATCATTCAGAACTGTATTCGATAAAAAATGACAGTGGCTAACAACAACTGAAGGATCATCTCGTGACAAAAGAAAATAAATTTGACTTTTTTATATTTGTAAGAACAGTTCGATCCGATTGTGTTGAATGAATCAATGGAAATAATGTAATAAATTGACATGTTGATCCATTTTGACTTTCTGAAAACAATAAAATTTAAAATATGAAATTCTTTTAAATTATTATTTTTTTTTATCTTTGCCATCAAATGTTAACAATAGATTACAAATCGAAGGTGGAGCCTTCGTTTTTAAGATACCTTTCATTCCTGACTGATTCGATAAATTTTGAGATCCAGTTGTTATAAATTCATGTCTATGAGATGATACTTCTGGTTGATGTTGACTGAAATTAAATATACATGATTGTAATATAGTTGAATTTCTGGATTCTGCTTGAATATGTGATCGTACAAGTTGACATGATGGTACATTAAACATTAAAATCATCGCTTTCATATTACTGAAAGAAAACGACAAGAGAAATTCATACTTGAATTCGATCAACTAATATTTGATGATGATGATGATTGTGTAATACAATGTCGCGCAAGAATATTTTCAAGAATTTGATTAACACGATGTTCAAGTTCAGATGTGGGGTGTGGTTGTGGGTAAATGTTCGTGTGACTGGAAAGAAGATCCAACCACACCCACATCCTCGGTTCCTTAGAAACCGCGACGCACGGAGTTCGGAAACGACCCGAGATACTTCAGGGTTTCAGCACAACGCGAAAGACAGACCCTTTATTCGGTTTTTGGAAATCGGCGATCACTGTCTAATTTTGAAAACCATGGTGATCGACGTTTTTGAAAAACCTAATAAACGGTCTGACTTTCGCGGTGTGCTGAAACCCTGAAGTATCGCGGTGCGTCATGGTTTCTAAGAAACCGAGGATGTGGATGTGGTTGGATCTTCTTTCCAGGCACACGGACATTTGTCCAAACCCACACCCTCATTTTACTCAGAATTTAATGCTGATTTTGAATATGTAAGCCTTTTTGGAAAATATTGGGGGCGACAAAATGGCCTTAACGCCACTTGTCCTTTATCGTTCAATCATAGATTGATCAACAGATAGAGTTTCCAGTTGACATAGGATCTCAAGACACGAATTCAATAGATTTCTGAATATTGAACAATCAAAAACATAAGAACTTGAGTATTGCTCATGTATAGATCAAGTCCTCGTCCAAATTTTATTTCTATTATCGGGATATAATGGTTGGCATACAATAAACATCAAAATAACTTTAAAAGGTGTTTCGAGTCTTAGAGAGACAAGGATTATCCAATTGTGCTTTTCCCACATTGCATGTGATTTATTTAGAAGAATTTCATTGTATTCCAATGCGTTACTAATTATAGTTTCAAGAATTGAAAATTTTTTAGAATGTGAAAAAAAGAGAACTGTCTGTGTCTGGCAAGTCAATGATATCACCATATATCGTTTCAACTTTGATTAGTCAATTTGATTGTCTATTTAAATTTTAATAATCCCTTCTTCATTAAATTAAATTAGAAATCGATATTGTGATTGAATTGTATGTTTAATTTTTTCCCGCAATAGACATATTTGAGAAAATGAAAGTCTAGTCTGTTTTGTTTTATATTGTGGTTTTTTTGAGTAAAGGCATTTTATCGATCGTATGAGATCTGAAAATATGTATTTAAACAATGAGATTATAGAAACAAAAACAATCAACAACTTTCACTTTTATAATGAAGAGGCGAAACAAAAGGAAAAAGAAAAATATAATAAAATTTCAGTTTCAAACAAATTCCCATTTTTGTTCTAATTGATCATTGTTAATGTTTGGGATAATAGCTTCATGAATAAATGTCTTAAATGATGTTGAATGAACGTGAATAAACTTGTTAAACGTGTCTTGAGTATCAAAAAATTCATTTTTCTTTGAAATTCTTGAATTGGCAATTTCTATATGAATGCCTATAAATCGTCCTATTGAATCCACTATAACAGCACCACTCGAACCAGTTAACGTTGAACAATTGTGCATTTCATAATTGTTATTTGAAGATAATTCTTCAATCAAATATCCAATTGAAATAGACTTATTATCAATGGTTAAAAGTTCAAAACCTTTTGTATATTTGTATGCATTTAAATCATTCTTATCATATAATTCTCCATTATATCCGGCTAAAAACAATTTACAATTGACTGGAGTAACATTTGATGAGGAACTGAATTTGGGATGAAAAAAAAGAATCAAATTGTAAATGTGGTGCTGGATGGTTCAATTTCAGAATCGCAAGATCAGTTCCATTCGATTTCAGTTCGTCTAAACTTAAAATATTATCTTGTTTTAAACCACGTTGTATGATTTGAGTTTCTATTACTGAACTATTTGGATTTATTCTCGATAATAAAGCTGGACTTGCAGGATCAGATGATGACACATATATTTTTGTAAAGGCAATCATTTTATCACTCCAATTGATTGGGTGAAAATTGTGGACGCAAGTTAATACTATTTGGTTGTTTACAAGCAGTCCACTACCGAATAGCATGCTAGTTGTAGACTGATGTAAATATAATATTCCAATTCGAACAATTAATGAACGTAAGGATAATATTGAGTACATAATTATTTCACTTGAAATATCAGGTAAGGGAATTCGCCAAGTTATACCATCATGAACATATTTGTATGTTCGATCTAATGCATTAGGTTTCATATTAAAAAATGCACGTTCACTGCAAATAAATTTTGGAATATTATTAATCTGATTTATATTCACTTGTTGTTCTTCCGAACTTGACTAAAAGAAAAGAACAAATTGTTGATGACATCAAATTTCAAAAACATTTTCTATGAAAAACTCAAAGAGAAATGGTGGATAAGAAGATTCCAATGCTTTATCATATAGAAGCTCAACTTTGAATTGTACAGAATTAAACAACATCGTCTAACATTCATGAATTGTCTGGTGTTCATTTAATGCAATACTAGTTTGTCTCATTCATTATAATAATGCCTCTCAAACGTGGGATCACTTCGCTTTTTTTAAAACCGAACCGAATCCGTCTAATCTCTGCTTTCCCATGAAAACTTTCATATTACTCGTTTTCTTTAAAAACTCGATAAATGAAGATATAGCTCTTTCACAGATGAAAATTAAATTTACTAAGTTAAATCTCCATGGAAAAATGAAAAGAATATTTTTCTTACTGATGAATTCAAATCAGTTGGAATTGTATAAACATAATGGTCGGAAGTTTTAACGAATTTTTTACGTAAGCTACAATAATTTCCAGTTAATTCGTTGAATCTGAAAGTAGTTTCTATTGTTCTGATATTATTTTCTCATATGTCGGAACTTACAAAGAATAGAACTTTGACTTAACTAAATCAATATTTGAATCAGAAGTTTCTATAATTGATTGTCCATCTGGTCTAAAAAAAACAATAGATCAATCTATACTAATCCGAAACAAATTATTTGTTATTCTTACTTATATAATAACAAGCAATATTGAGGTGCTTCATTTAATACCAGTGTATGCATTCTATGCGTCATCAATTGATTATCACTATCATTCTACCAAATAAAACACAAATCACCTTTTTTATTTAATTTAAAAATCAGACTATTTATTCACTTTATTTAATATGCAATGAAAAACTCCATCATTGTCTGCATATGCTTCATGACTTGCATCAAGATTTTTCAAACTTTCTTTACCAATAAGACTTGTTGTTTTACTCATTTTATCTAAAAATACAAAAAAAAATAAAAAATTTAACTTTATTTCTAAAAAATATACCAAAAGCTTCTCTTTCTAAGATAGTAAATGACAAAAATAATTTAATGGTGCAAGTAAATTTTTAAAAATAGATTGATTAGTATTACACAGACAATACGACGAAAAATCTAATTCAATTAAAAGAAAAATAAATAAATAAATGGATAAATACGAAATAATAGATGCAACATACATATCTTGTTCAATAAAATAATATTGAATTTAAATAAAAACCAACAGTGACAAACAACAATAATAATAAACTAAAAAGATAATAAAATTAAAATAATTAATATTTGAAATAAAGCATACTTGATCAAGTTCAAATAAACCAAGCACACAGACAACACCACGAATATAATTTATCTTAAAGAAAAAAAATAGTAAATACATGGAAAATAATAGGTATAAGCTACTTATTTCTATATAATTATTGTTGAATCGAAGACAAAATCCACACGAATAGACGAAAAACAATAATTATCTATAAGAATATAAAATTAATGAAATAAAACATGATACAAGAAGAATAATTTCAGTGAAAATGTGTTAAATAAAATGATATATTTAAACAGATATGTAATATACCATATTGAATGAGATAATAAAAAAAATATTTAATCGTCTAAAAATTGACACATTGAAATCAACAACGCTGAGTACTCTTATAATTAATATTCTTTTAAATCTAAAAACGAAAAACGAAGCAAAAAAATAAATATCCTAAACGAAATTCAATTGCAAAAAACATTCCCAACAAAAAAAAAGTAAAACAAAAGTTTTCCATTGTTCTTTACTGATTACCTAATAGTTCTTAGCCAATAGATATTTTTTTTTCTTTCGTTCACATCTATGCATCATGCCTGAAAATAAAATTTCGTCGCATATTGGGGGTGGGCGTGGGTGTTGGTCTGGGTGTGAGTCTTCTGTTCTGTTACACTCACAGCCACACTCACAGCTACACCCACAACCACAGCCACACCCACAGTCATAGCCACACCCATACCAACACCCACACCCACACTCTACGTAGTACTCTGCTATATCTTTCCTCTTTCTCTTCTCCTTTTGATATTGTACCAACTATTCTTTCTTCTCTTCATCCCTCTCATATATAAGCTCATGTTGTGTATTAGATTGTTACATTTGGATGTAGTGAATAGTCGAATAAACATCATGCCCACAATGGGATCAAAGACATTAATGTGCCTCTCCACTTGTCATTAACGGATATATATATATATATATGCCTAGGTATATATATATTTTTCGTTACATTAAATATTGTTCAACATTCGATGCATATTTATATGAACGGAAAAAAATTAAGAATGGCTTTATTGTTAAATAAATATCCTGGTGAATTTATAGAGAAACAATTCAGTGGTGTATTTCAAAAAGCATAATTTGATTCAGCCATTATCGACAAACAGTTATAAAACATTACGTGAGAAATTAATTTATATAGAGAAAAAAAGAAAATATTCCAATTGATTGTGGTAAAACAATGTTCATTCATTTTACCTATTGTTTGAATATGAAAGCATTTCTCACAAAATTTCATGCCCTTTGGAACAAATATTTTATGGGATCTCCAACAGATGAAATAAAACCGGTTTTAGGTACTCGTAATGTCAAGAATTTACAACAACAGCTAATACGTAATAAATAATATTTATTCAATCTGATTTTGTTGAAAATGAAAATGAAATAGATTGGTTATATTATTTAACTTATTAGGATAAAAATAAAATTGGGCAACTTATTATGATGAATTGTATCTGTTATAATACAGAACTATATTTGTCACAATATAATTAACTTAATCAAAATAAATTCGTTACGTTATCTTTACAAAAACTTTTTTTTATAAAATTTAGGTATAAACGATTTTATTAATATTAAAATTAAAATGTGTGGCTTATAGTGAAAAATTATCATACCAGAATATGATAAATTGAATCAAAATAGTGTGTTTCATTAATTGTGCAGCAAAGTCTTTCTAAAACATATGCAGAAACAAAATTATACAAATACAAATTAAAATATAACAACCAAAATTAAAATGCAACAAATAAAAATTACAATGTACGACTTATGATGAACATAATCAAACATCTTTCTACAAATAAAGCATGTAGAGCAAGAACCTAGTTAATATCACATGAATGATTACAGTTTTTTAATGTTGTATTATTTCAGTTATTCAAGCGCGTGAACATCTAATGCAGACCCCTGAAGAGTGTTTTAATATTTCAATAAAGAACACGAAACGCGTTGGCAAATTAAAATCTGCATTTCTTAAAATTATTTTTTTTTCTGGCACAAGTCACAATAAATTATTATTTAAAAATTCATCTAAATCTCGACATAATAGTCGATTGCTGAAAAGCAAACGTCGAGTGCAAGCAGATTGTATTTGTCTTTTCTTCAAGACAGATAGGTCAGTCTGTTTTTCGTTTAATTTAAACAAAAGCAATCCCCTTTGCTTTGACCCTTCTGTAGAAGTGTAGATTCATTCAAAAATCTTAGGTGAAACTTCAATTGTTGGAATTCGTTGTTAAATATTTAAAATAGTACCGTTTTTGATTTTTGCGAAAAATGAAAATTTCAATTCACTACACCAAGAATGGTTAGTGGCAATCCATTAAAATGTTTGTGAGTTGATTTCGATACATAATAGCTCATCAATACTTGTTGTAGACATAATGTATACATTGTATAATAGGCTTCTTTCTATATGATTATTCAATAGTTATAAAAAAATAATAATATGAAATTAAGAAAACCAAAATAAGAAAATCAAAATAGAATGCCAGTGGAAATAGTTCTCTTCGACATGCCAAAAAATAAATTAGACATTTTTTTCTACCCATTAGTTGTCTTGAAACACAGACTAACA